AAATTAATTATGTTTTAACATTTATGCTGTGCTACTTTTACTACTACAAGTTACGTGTACTTTTAGGTACACGGGTCATTGTCCCACCCTCAAGTTTCGTGTTGGAAAGAGATTCGGAGCGAGTACGGAGGAGATAATGAAGGTAAGAAGAGAAAATATAATTTAAAAAAAAAGGCAGAAATTAAATTTTCAAAATAAGAGATGTATTTATTTATAGAAAAACTTGAATAAAGAAAATTGTTATATTAATAATCTACAATTAAAAAAGAGATTTTTCTGCCATGTATTGATTGAGTGGTGAACATTTTGACGGTCTACCTCGTACAACAACTAACCTGTCTTCTCTACTTATAGAGAAACTTAAACAAATAAGATTAATGTGTAATGCTCGCGCAAAATCTTATGAGTAATCAAGTTGCACAGTTAAAAGTTTAATTTTTTATTGTGTGTTTATATCACAGGAATTATTAGAAAAAAAAATTCTTAAGACTGGACCATATAGACCAAAGTCCGGTAGGGAAGCCGAGTTACCAACTCTTCAGGATAAAGAAATCAGAAGAGATTGGTCTAACGAAGCTGGATCGTACAAGGCACCTCCGTACATTCTAGGATATACCGGTAAGACTATACAAGACAACCCTTCAGATATTCTTTTAATCGCAAGTAAATTAAAAAAAATAATTGTTAAATTGTTGAGATGTCAATTTTTTATATATTCTCTTATGTTAACCAAATGATATTGAATATTTTAATAATTATTAAAATGTACAAAACTCAATTTTTGTCGAAATATAAAAGCTTTAGTGAATTATAAAATTAGAAAAAAAATTTTTTTATTCTTTGTTTACATTGCAAAAGCTTCATTTATTATTCTTTGTTTACATTGCAAAAGCTTCATTTCAAAGCATTTATCAATATTTTATGATTATATTTACAAAAAGTTCTGAAATTATAAGCTTGTAAAATAACAAAGAGAGAGAGACTTAAATAAAAATCTTTTCTTTTTTAACTCATTTAGTCTTTATATATATTTCGGCAAAAATTAAATTTTGCATTTTAATTTTCAAAATATTTAATTATACATAAAATTTGAAAATTTGGAACACACGTAAATGATCTTAATCAAACCTTTCTCCGCTACAAAAGAACCATGGCCTAATAACAATCCAAAATAGAAATCGCCGATTAAGATCATTATTTTATCGCTTCAAACTACCGACGTAGAATTGCTTCGATACGACCTTCAATGCACGCGATTACTATTAGTGAGCATCGCGCTAAGCGACCTAAATCCTTGTAATTAGTAGTTTGCATATTGCATTGCGCACAGAACTAACTATATCTTTAAAATATATTTATTGTAATTATCTTCTTTTTTTATTTCTAATGCGAATTTGCATTTTTAAGTGTACTTAATCATCAGGAAAAAAGATTTTCATGCACGTTACATTTTTCTTCTCCAATTAATTGTTTCGAAACTCACATAAAAGATAATCGAATGCTTACCAGTACGATGCGCAGCAGTAGAAGTTCCCCAGGCTTCTTCCTCCTTCCCTGCATGGAACTCCCAAAATAAGACACAATTATTTTTCTATAATTTTCCGCTTATTCACTACGTTACGACAGGAGAGACGCGGAAGCCATGATGCGAAGCCATGATCGTTCGCGGGACGCGTGCCTAAATTCACGCCATTCGCTGTGGCGGGACGCCGCACCTGTTGACACAAAGGGCACGTAATCGCATTCTTTTTAGGCAGATTACCGTGACCCATTGTAGCGATCTTATTGCGATACATTATAATGAACGAATACATTATTATTCATATATGTATAGTATAAACATAGGTAGAGCTAGAACAACTCAGTTGACATCAATTAAAGCTACTAAAAGTAACGTAACATTTGTTATACGAGGTCTGTTCGCATACCTTGATACTTTTATGAACAGAATAATGAGACGAATTAATTAGCGTAAAGAAAACACATATAAATGCTTACTTAAAAAATTATCCATTATGCCTCTATATTTTTTTAAAACAATTATGTATCTTCGTTACTCCAATTAATTCTTCTGAATTAATTTCACCTTTTTACGATATGGCGCAAGTTAATTAACGACTAATTATATAGGTCTGTTGTTTTTAACTAAAGTTCTTGCACGGTTCATGTTTTTTTCTTTTCTCTTACATTGACGAAAAAAAAGAAAAGAGATGAACAAGCTCAGTTACAATAAATAAAAAGAATAGGCTTTGAGATGAACCTGAAAATATATTGTACATATAATCTCGAAAGGCAGCATTAAATGCGTAAAAATCCTGTGTATTATGATATTGATAAATATATATATTACTAATAAGCGACCGATACATCAATCTTTTTGTTACCTTATTTCAAATTCAAAGCGCGCCGCAGAAATAATTTCGCGTAAATATTATTACTGCTATTAATAAAGAGCGATTAATTAAATTATAAAAATTATGGCAAATTTAATTTCTTTATTTATCAAAAAAATATATAGCGTTATCTACATTCGAATAATTTTTATTTTCAATTTCGATCCTAGGATTAATGAAGTTGCAATTGTCTTTGATAATACTTTGATACTATAAAATAATAAAATTAATCTATATAAAAGCTATATAAAAAATTATATGTATGTTTATGATAAATTCATACTTTGATATTCTAATTGAATGTACATATGTTGCTATATAAAGTCTCTTTTTCTTAAGAATTAATTTGCAAAATTAGCTCAGAAATTTTTTAAGACTGGATTGTTCTATCTCTTTCGGTAAATTTCGTCTCACTCTCTCTCTTTTTCTCTCTCTCTCTCTCTCTCCTTTCTTTTAGATATTGAATAAATTACCACATAATTTATTCGAAGGTGGAACAACCAGTCTTAAGAAATACATTTTTTATCTTAATGTTAATATTAATATGAAAATAGAGAGAATCGAGGTATTTATATCTTGTACAATACATTCATCTACGAAGGTATTTGTATTTAACGTTATTCTCATATTTATTACAGGATATATTCCTGGTTTCAACAGCAGATTTGGTCTATCCTTCATGAGAGCCGTAGAAGCTGGTGCCAAAGAATGGCACGAGGCACAAATGAAACTGAGAGCGCAACGAGATGCAATGAGGGCTCATGCTGAACGGACAGATCCGAGAAATCTTTTATCCCGAGCGAGAACCGACAATGTGGACATTGAGATCGATCACGGTCATGACAAAGACAGAAGGACCTATGGTACTTCATACTCGCATTATTTGTTATTCCGACTTAATATAGTAATACAATAGATATATTATTCCAATACGAGAAAGAGATTACTTAACCGTTTATTTCAAAATATTAAAATATAAAATATAAATTAAAAAGATACTAGATACACATAAAAAAATTAACGAACATTTATTTTTAAAAATTTAAGTTTTAATTTTCAATTAAAGCTGAAAGCAAGGCACCAAGTTCCAAGAACTGATGATTATTGTTATCGTTGCAGATTATCATGTCTCCCCAGAAAGACCGCCGATTGTTGGTTATACAGGCCATATTCCAGGAGCGAAGGGAGAAGTCGCGCTTTCCAAGAGGTACGCCCAAGCCGCTAGAAAAGGATTAGAACGTGTCCAAAGGGAACGTGAAGAAAGGCTCAGTAGGACTAAAGATATGAGCGCCGTTGAGAGAGTTCTTGACAATGCGTACCTTGACGAAACGGGACACACGCGTGCATAAGATGATACAGGAATATGGTTTCTAACTGCAGCATACAAAATGAGATAAAAATGCGTTAAGACATTAGAAAGAAGAAAAACAGAAAATAATAAATGTAGGAAAAGAGCAACCCAAGTGACAAGGTAACGTCAAATGGCATCTTAACAATGTCTTAATGTCTTTAATATTATTAAAACGTTACCTTGCTATTTAGAAAGTATTATAAGTATAATATACAAGAAATTTCCAAATACATAACTTCCGAAATTTTGCCATGCAGACTTCGCTGTACTTAACGTTTTTACATTACTTTTTTTTTACAGTATCGAAAAGAACGAATAAATACAAATAATTATGTTAAACAATAATCTAGTTGCAAAATTATTTATGTTTGAATCATGAAAGCATTCCAAAATATATAAGGATTATTTTTAGTACTTTGAATTATACGAATAATACTTGACAGCTTTTACTCTTCCCTAATTTTTAAACATAAATAATTTACAATAGATTATTTGTGAGTTTAGAAACAGATAGCATAATTATTAAAGTATAGAAATGTATTTCTGCGCGAAGTAATAAGTTTATTAATTTTTGAAGATGTGTATGTATTGAAATATATTGAATAGATAAAGATTTTTAAATCAAGGAATTCTCCTCAACTAGTCTTCAAAGAGAAGTATGACAATCGAGAAACAAGCTAGATTGTGATTTAGAGAATTATTAAACATATTTATCTTAATATTTGTTCATATAGAAATAAATATCTACGATAGAAAAAATTTACAAATATGTGAATTACTCCAAACGCTTTAAGCTTCCAATGTTCAATAAATTTCTGCACATACATGCACCACGTACATATGTACACGATGTTTCCACATTTAAAACAAGGAAAGAATACAATTTTTGGGAATATTTCTACTGGGAAATATTTTCAAAGAAATGAATATAGATGATTACTATATGTATATATATATGCTAGTTCCATTTCGGCTCAAATAAAGGAAGACGTATGTCTAAACTTTAGAATTTACGAAATGGATTATAGCCGATGTACATGCTAAACAACATTCTAAAACAAATGATATTTAATTGTAAATGTTTATTTGCTAAAGTATAACCATGTAATCTTTGCCTATGTAAATACAAATTTAACTTAAACTTCCGTCCTATTTTATATAGTAATTAACAATATAAAAATGTATATATATATATATATAAAATAGTATATAATTTTTACATTACTAATGAGATATTTATAAAAGATTCATGGGAAATAAATATTTGTATTAGTATCATATATGATGTACATTCAATATTACGATTCTTTCCTGAGTTCGACGATTACCTTCAGCGCTGTGGCAGCCTACTCATTCTTTCCATTTCCATCTGCACAGTTTTCTTCCAGCAGTCTATATCTAGTGTCGTTTGTCCATATGATAAGGCCATCATTTTGGCGAAAACCATCAGTGAGTGTAGATTGTCCTTATTTATATTTCTGTTTGCATTGAGCATCTCCACAAAATCGTCTTGAATTATCTGAATATAATAAAATTTTATGTGTGCATGTGTGTAAAATATATATAATACAAAACTATTAAAATAAACTGAGTAAATGTAGATATTATGTCGAAAATCAAAATATAATATACTTTTGCCATTTCTTCGTCAAAATTAAGATGTTCTGTATGCTTCAAGGTTTCTATGTATTGCCGAATATTAACCAATCGATTATCGTCTTTCAAATACTGATGTGCAGCTTCAGTTACTTGACTATATAAATTTTCTGAGTCTGCATCAACATTTAAAACAATTTGCGTAGGACACTATAAATGAACATTTAACTAATTAACATTCACAGAAAAAAGATAATATTTTTTTATGCTGTAAATAAATACTTACAGGAATAAAGGATTTTACATCAGAAAAGATTAGAATTGGAATGTCTGTTTCGTAATCTATTGTATAAAACTTGAAATCGTATTTCAGTTTTTGAAACATAAGTAGATCGGAGAGAGCTTTATAATTCTCCCTGCCAGTTGCAGTAAGTGTACCAGAAGTTAAGCCTGTCTCGTCTAATACAAGGTGCGTATCATCGCTTAGTTGGAGAATACCACTTGTTAGTCTATTACATTCGTAATCCTTCCTAAAAATAAATAATGCGAATTTATTCACTAACTTACATGCATTCAATAAGACGAACTTACTTCGGGATTAAAGCTAGTTCATTCAAATTGCTCAAAGTTATTTCCAAAAAGTGGCTTTTCTTTACAAATAATGTTAAAAAGTTATAAAACTCCTTCGGAAAAATTTTCTGTTTATTTGCTGGGAAATTCGTTATATTTAGCGGAAATGCACCGAGACAAAAATAATCTCTCCTCATATATCTACAAATATAAAATATAAAATGACAAATACAGGTATTATAAGTATGCATATCTCTATAAACATATTAAAATAAAATGCATACACTGTAGAAAGCAAGTGGCATATCAAGTAATCTGCAGCTAAAGTATCTCCAAACAGCAACTGACTCAATATTATATGCAAATCACCTCTGATGATCTGTACTTTAGATACAATTTCCGGAGCATTTACAATTTTAGATTTTGTAAGCTCGATTATTTTTACTGCATGTAACCGAGGAACTAAAGAAGCTGGTGGATTGTGAGTTTGTATTTCGGCATCGTCCATCTCATCATCAGAACTTTGTATTGTACTTAATAATGGATCTAACGATATAAATCCTATTACATCTATAACTTGGTTCAATTTTAAGACAGTTTCGTTGTAAATCTAAAAAGTATGCATTATGATAATATCAACCGAAAAAAATATGTATTGGATATGTTCTTTAAAAACATAATACAATTTACCTTTATTATACAAGCTTTTCCACCATCGATTGGAATCGGAAAGTTCAATATGTGATCTTCTGATACCATACTTCGAACTTTTGCACTGCCTTCAACATCGGTCATATCTACATCATTATTATCTGCAGAGACTTTCTCTTTTTTCTTAACAGGTTCTGAGCAATCCGTTTCCTCTAAGTCGTTATCATCCAGATTCCTTTTATTTATACTGTCATTATGTGTCATTGTATGAGGTATCTGCATGTTTATGCTCTCTTCCTTTGCCCAGTCATTTAATCCAGGTATAGAAATTATGATATAAGTTTGTCGTTCAGAGTTTTGATTTTTTTTGGAATATAACAAAATTTCTTCGTGTGGCTGTATCCAAAATAATAGGTAATAAATTACTTATGCGAATAAAAAATATAATTGATATACTAACGGTGGACTATACTTTTCTTATCTTAGCTTTGATGCTTAGATAGAAAAAATTGAACATATCAAAATCTTTCTTCAACTTTATCACCATTACTGTCCAATTTGATATCTTAGAAAACAATATACTCCAATCCATAAAAATGCATTACATTCTTATTATATCTACGAATAATCTACATCTTAGTAACAATGTATGCAGTTTTATACATGAGATAAGCTGTTCTCATAGCACCCCACACCTGAACTGCACATTTGTTTAATCTAGACTCTGCTTCATATCCATTGCTCATATAAGAGCAGAGATAATGCAACATTTCTACAGAGTCACATAAAATAGTTCTACAAAGATATGTGTCAAAGGAAAATAAAACAGAAATAATTTACCAGACATCGAGCTGCATCCATATACATTCCACATCTAATAGTACTCTCTCCAGTGTCTGTGTTCTTCACTTCGTATTGCTTAAAATAATACTCAGGATTGTATATATCCTGAATCATCCCTCGGAATCTCACCAACTCTTTATCTTTGATGTTATGCAATTGAACATTATTTAATAAAGGTATTTTTGTTAGCATATCTGGATTTTCTAAAATTTCCTGACAGTTTGACTGATTTGAGGTATAGTATTCAGGTGTCCAATCTCTTACTTCAACTGCTAAAATAAAGAAATTTTATTCTAATAACGTCTTCTAGCAAAAGATATAGGCTGTGGTTAAAATTTTGTTACAAATACTTTGAAACATTTGATAAACCAATCAGAAGAAAGAACTTATTGACAATGATCAATTTACAAATTGAGCAATTAAAAATACTTTAGAGCATTTATAGCATCATGTCTATATCCATAATGTAACATAGGAACTAATAATTCCTGTTCAACATTGACAAACAGTAAGAATAATATAATTTGATTATGTTCAACAGAGAAAGCAGCTTTGCAACCGTCAAATTCTCTTATATTGGTTAATATTATACCAATATATCTTATATTGGTGAATATGATTTGTCTTGTTCTTAATTTTTCACTGAATCTAAATATATAAATCAATTATTTTAAGAATTTTACAATGACTGCAAAACTGCTTTCTCTATTAAATACAGTTACTGCATCATGTTTTTTGTTAGAAAACAATTATTAGGTCTATTTTTTTATAACTGAAATGATATATACTGTTTGTATTACTTAAAGTAAAACAGGTATAAATTTGAAAATTGACAAAAGTGAAAAGGAAAATTATAGTGTAATCGTGGACACTTTTCATAGAAGTCGGAATGGATTCTCTAATTGGAATTATTCTACTTTTCCAGAAAACATAATAGAAATCTAGGGAGAATAATTGAATAATTCTGATCAAGATAATTCCATTCCGATAATTCCATAATACGTTTAAAAAAAAAAAACAAATCTATAACATAGCACAATAAAAGATTTCTTTAACCAATCATGAAAAAATTTTCTGTATATTTCAGTATATAAAACTTGTTACATTTTGTATATATTTTATGTTCCTTCTTTTTCTTTTGAAAAAAAATGTATATAAATATAATTTGTTTTATTCAAAACATTAAGGCTAATTCTACAATGTGCTTTTTGTTTCCTGTTTCATGCTGTTTGTCTCTTGCTTTTTTGATTAAGAAGGCAAAAGACAAACAGCAGGAAACAAGAAACAAAAAGCACATTGTAGAATTAGCCTAAAAATATGACAAGAAATGTGATCGAAAAAATTCAATAGTAGCATATTAATACTTATGCACGTGTAAAACGTAGCTATACATACATGTCATTTTGAAAACGTGTTATCTTCCAATATAAACGTAATGGAGATAAGCTGACAAGTCTCCGCAAAATTAAATTTTTCGTTCTTCTCGTTCACGATTAGACAACAAAGCGCAAAAATTTGGCGGCAAATCGTAGATGCATGCAGATGAGATAAGAAAGCCTCACTCGCGACGTGCGACTTTTGTGACAGCTCCAGGTAGCGCTAAAGTCTCTTTTTTTTTTTTTAACATAACCACAGAGAGCCTGAGAGTTGAACTATGTAGTCAATGTAGTCAATGTAGTCCACGATCGTGTCGGTAATGTCCACGATTTTTGGTTTGAATCTTCCCTATGTCCATGATCTTTTAAAAAATCATTACATTATTTTGCAGCATCCAGTATACTGCTTGAACGTTGTTGAAATACAAATCGCACACAATTTGACAGACGGCAAATTATGCTGATGGACATGCTGTCACAATCACAAGAGAAATATTGGAATTGCACATGAAGCAATCTAAAGCAATCGCTGCTATATGTTTGGCCTTCTCGCACTGTTAATAATTTCGTCATGGGAAGTGAGGACGGAACTGTTTACTTAGGTAAGTGCAGTTGTCCACGTATGTGAAAATGTTAAAAATAATTAGTAAAAATTATTAACATTTTAACATTTTGTTGAATAGCCTGTTGACATGGTAGCCGCGCTGGATTGACAGAAATGTATGAAATCATCAGGGACCTGTCACTAGTATTAACGCACATGCAGTGCAGGCGATATAGACTTCTCCCATCTATTCCTGATATCTTCCCTCGACTGGACTATCAAACTTTGAAGCCTGAAAGAGAACAAACCGCTCTACTCTTTTGAACATAATGACGACTATGTTTATGACGTTGCTTGGTCTCCAAAACATCCGGCGCTGTTGACGATTCGGGCAGATTAGATTTGTGAAATCTGAATCAAGATACAGAGGTACCGCCAGCGATGACGGATGTCCTGCTTTGAATAAAATATCGCCAAGCGGGCATGTTACTTGTTGGAAATGATACTGGTAAAATATGGGTCTATGACGTCACCGAGGTACGTATGATGATACTTTAAAATTTTTCTTGACTGTTTATTTGGCACAATTGTGTACTCAATAATTTATGCTATATTGTACTTAATTTTTTGTTCATTACAGCATCTAGCTCATCCAAGAATTGATGAATGGAACAAATTCCTGTATATGCAATAGGACCTGAAAAACAACAAAGCTGATGAAAAACTGGATGAGTTTAACCTTAGTTCTGGGTCGTCTTCGTTAACATCTATATCTATAAAAATTCTTGTAACTTAACTTGCTTTAATAATTTTATCTTGCAATTGATTACACTTGCAATATCGTATATAAGAAACAAGTAAAACTTATCTAGCTTGTAACAGCAATAAAATAAGAATAAAGGCAATAAGCGAGCAATTGACATCACATTATTATTCAACGAACCGACAAATCCTTAAGTTTAAATATAAAATATTTGGTAGCTTTGTTAATGATATATGTAAGTAGCAATTTTGTCACAATGATAGGCTTTGTAACAAGTGCGTTTTATCTGGCGATGCAAGTTGACATAAGAATTATTTTAGCTTTCTTGACATTAGCAGAAAAATCTGAGAGACAATGCCGGCTATTTTCCTATTATCGTCAAAATCGCTTATACACTTATCAGTACATTCATTTTTGGTTTGAGAAAACTACTTAGCTACATTGATTTTCTAATTCTATCAAGGCAGGGGGAAATCATATAGCAGAAAATACGTCAAAAATGTAAGAGACGTAATTTTCAAAACGAAAACAGACGTACGGACGATTTCGACGGTAACAGGGAAAAGGCCGATATGAATTCATTTAATTATTTGAAATGATATTTAATTTTCATAAATACGAATGTAGTTTCTAACCTATATTCAGAAAGTGCATTATCAACGTAAAATTGCGTTTTAAATATATGCCAGCTTCTCTGTCCTCAAAAACCACACATAACACAGCATCAAAATCTGAAAATTATTGAAAATTCTGCGCGTCGCGTTTTATACACTTCAATAGAAAGCTAGCGGTGATCCAACCAGCGCTTGAATACGCGCTTGTAGCAGAGAATCGAGCCACATCGCGCTCATTGGTTGACTGCGAGTGGTGGGGTTCGAGTCTGATCGGAGCATATAAATATCGCGTAATTCACGGTTTCACACTTTTGCGCTTCGGCCAGCGGACGAGTTTGAACCTGTCGTCACCTGTCATATCGCGTTGGAATAGTTCGCTCTTCGCTCTCTTGTTTCGCACTGGAATCTTTCCTCTGGAAAGAATTTCCACTATCTCCGCAAGAATTCTGATCTCCACTATCTTCGGAAGTACACCGATCCTGCGCTATCTTCGAAAATATCCTGATCCTGCACTATATCTTCGGAAGCATCCTGATCCTCCACTTATATCTTCGGAAGTATCCTGATCTCCAGAAACGTCCTGATGTATCCTCATCTTTGCAGAGAATAAAACAACGAGAACGACGCGGAAATATTTACCAACGAGGTAACTAATAATTATTATATTACATTATAATATCTTAACATGCGACGCGAGAAATATTTTAAGAACAAGTCTTTGAACTCTCGAACATATTTTTAATCGTTTGCGCGAAAATCAAGATAAATAAAGTGATGATCGCGATCGCGTCGCTTTTTATTACGTTATATGAAGTTGGTCGCACGCGGAAAACGACGCCATTTTTTTCGATCACATTCGCGTTTCATTCCCGGAATGGATTGGGAATGACGCAGAGTGGCAGCGCAAATGTGGTAATTAAAACATAGGTAAACTTGATTTAATAATTTTTCGATATTTATCACGCAACTAGAGATTCGGTATTTATACTATAATTGTTTGCGTAAGAGCTTGTTCACACGATACGGTCATAATACGTAGTTTTATACAGGGTGTTTGAAATTTCACTTTTCGCGTTTCTGCTGTAGAGAAAAAATACATGATCGCTAATTAGATATATTTGGGTATCGATCATAAGACTTTTTCTTTAGAATGAAAAATAAAAAATTTCTCCATTAATTTCAATGATAAAAATTTTCACTTTCCATCCTAGAGAAAAAGTTTCATGCTCGAAATATGGAAAATGCATGAACACGACGCGCGACGCCAAGAGTGAGAAACATAGCGATACTATGCTCGCGTAGCAGCGTCTTGACGTCGCGTCGCTTTAGACGCGCAAAAACGAAGATTCTTTGCCATCTCAGTTAAACTCTACGCGTCATTATTTAGTGATTTATAAATTGAAACTTAAACCTATACATTTGTCGTTTATTGCAGAGAAGGACGCGCATTTAATTTAAAAAAATGATTGCTTCAACTAACGAATGTCTACGCAAAGTAATGGGAGGAGAAGAGAGAAGCTGGCTCGACACTTTGTGCATGAAAAGGAGAGGGAGACATAAAAAAGCATAATTGGACGCCGATGGAATAACCTTGCAGTGAGTAGGCTTATTTTGCTAGCATGTATAAAAAAATTAGTCCAATCAGGTTATTTTATAATATCGATGATTAAAAGTAATAATTAATGAAATAATCCTTAATATTTTGAAAGTTTCTTTTTATGAAAACAATTTTGAAAAATGTATAATTATCAGGGTTTTGCCACAAGTCAGGAGTCAAGGAAAGTCAGGGATTTAGCAAATTTTTCTATAGAAAAATAAAATAGCTGTAAAGAAATTTAAAACATCTGTTTAGCTCAGTGTCTGTTTCATTTATATTTCTGTGGAATCTTTATAATTATTTCTATTTTAAATAAACGTTGTGTGAACACGAAACTGACAAGTTCAATTTAAAATATTAATAACGTATAACAATAATTAAACTGCAAAAATATGAAATATACAATAAACAAGATTTAAAAATAAAACAATGCGTTAGAAATAATGATCATTCTATAATTATATCAAATGTGAACTTATTTTTCAGAAATCAAGTAGACGCAATGGAAACTTATTTAAGGACTATAGACAGGATGAAGGCCTGAAAAACAGGAAGTCCTTTGGGAATTTTCTAAATATATAATAAAATCAGGTAACTTTTATGGCGTCTTTATTGTATATCAATACTGAGGTATGTAAAAAAAT